TCTAAGGGGAGGTTCTGCGAATCACAACCTGTTGCACGCCCCAGCAGCCTGTGTCTATGGTTTGTATGTGCTTAGAATTACAAGGAGGCGATGCCTCCATCAATTGTGTTCAGTTGTTTAGTGGGCGTGGAAGAGGAGGGAGGGAGTGAGCTGTCATTTACCAGTGTGTATACACCCACATGTGTGACTCTATAGTAACGAGGGTTGCAGTGATTAGGAAATGGAGAAAATGAACAGCTTAGAAGTTAACTAAAACTGGAGCATTTTCAATAGATGTGGCAATGGCTGGTCTACACAATCTCAGGCTGCAGCGGGGACACAGACAAGGAGGAGGGAGTGGGGACACAGACAAGGAGGTGGGAACAGTGAACAACAGGATCAATCAGGTTTTTTGCACAATACAGAAAATGAATCCCATAGTGACTGAGTATGAACAGTATGCACTGTCAGTTTTTGTGGGTTTAATGTGCTAATATTTAGGTTTAAGCTAGGGCTAAGGTTGCTTGTTTAGAATAAGTATTGTTCTGTCCTTGCTACACCTTTCTGAATGGACTCTGTTCAGCCAGTGGGGTGATGATAGCTTGCCCAGTAGCCCTCCAAGGGACCAAATGTGAACATTAAAAACTGTGTCCCATTAATATCACAGCAATTCAAGTTTACCATTTTTTTATTCACTGAATTCAGCTGGAACCTAACTTTGTGTAGGTTCTCCTATTACTAGTTCAAGAATGTGTAGGCTTCCCAGGATGTTTCCTCTTAGTGCTAGTCAGGGGCGGACTGACCATTTGGAAACTCGGCACTGCCCAAGGGCCTGGGGTCAGTAGGGGGTCCCATGAGATGCCCCTGCTACCTTTTTCATAGGCTTTTTTGAGTTTGGGCAAGGACACAGGGGCCCCATGATCCCCTATTGCCTGGGGGCCCCATGAGTTTTCAGTCCGCCCCTGGTGCTAGTAAGGGTTTGTTTGTGGTATGGAGCATTTTAAGGACCAAATGTTGTTAAAACCCTATAAATGAATGTAGTGTTGTTTAGCCACTACATAGGGCCCATACAAACTTGCATAAAAACAACAGATTAAACATAATACATTATATGATGCAGGCATGGTAATTATTATGTTTAAGTGATACTTGGAGGGCAGGAGTATTTACAGTAGATATTGTTATTGTTTTTGGAATGAAACCACTTACCACATCAAAACTGAGAAAATATTGGAGAATGTTTAAAAGTATATCAGACTTACTTATTTTGAATGGGCTGCCAACAGATCACAATGCTGGTTTTTAGGCATGCAACATTGTTTTCCACTGTGTACACAACAACATACAGATGGTTGACATTCATCCATTGTGGTCCCCAGGTAAGATTCCCCAAGTTGTCATGTCCTGGTGCACTGTTCACCATAGCTGGCTGTAAACTAAAAACTTAACAATATATTGTACATGAATGCCTTATTGTTTGTGTATAGGTAATACAAGTAAAAATGGGCATGCATTGAACATTGCTGTATAGTAAAACATGCATATGTTACCTTCAGTGACAACCATGTGTCAAAATGATCAGTAGATCCAGAGGTATGGGCCACTAAAATAAAGGCATATGTAGTATGTAACAAAAATTGATACTCCCAGTGCAGTACAGCTAAGGTCATGAAGCCTACCCACACAGGAAAAAAAAAGAAAGAAAAAAACCATCAACCGCCGAACACAATGTGGCTCATCCAGAGACACTCACCGAATGACAGGTAAACATTGGAGCAGGGATGACCCCGCCCCCATGTTTTCCTGTCATTGGGTAAGTGGCTCTCCATGGGACATGTCATTTGCTGAGTGACAGGTATTCATGGGGGCGGGATATATAACGAATAGATAAGAAATTAATCTCAAAGAAATGTAAAGAATCCCAAAAATGAAATGGACCAACACAATGAAAATGAATAAATGAGATTTCTATCCAATGAATGTACATGAAAAGAAACTAAAAGGAAATTTTCTGGTGTGCACATGTCTAATTAATGCATGGGGGAAGCCTCCTTGCAATATCATGCAAAACCAAAAATGTTTCCATATCTACAGTAAAATACATCTGACCAGATGCCCCTGGTACCTTTTTCATAGGCTTTTTTGAGTTTGGGCAAGGACACAGGGGCCCCATGATCCCCTATTGCCCGGGGGCCCCATGAGTTGTCAGTCCACCCCTGCATCTAACATCAGCCTGCACTAAAGCTCTATTTCTAAGTGCTCGACGTCTGAGTTTTAATGTAACTGTTTAAAGTGGTATTAAAGGTTCGGCTTTTTGAAAAGGAAAAAGAAAAACAAACATGTCATACTTACCTGCTTTGTGAAATGGTTTTGTACACAACAGCACGATCCTATTTTTCTCTGGTACCCTGCCGGTGCTCGACTCCTCCCCCTTGTCCCCAATAGTAAGCCACCTGCTTTGGGGACACTGGTGCATGCTTGCTCTCAAGCCCGGCTTTATGCGTCCATAAGAGACATAGAGCCGCAGCTCAGCCCTTCCCTTCACTCTCTCCTCATTGGCTCACTGGCTGTGATTGACAGCAGTTGGAGCCAATGGCTCTTGTTGCTATCTCAGCCAATGGGGAGAGGGAGCCCCGGGACAGCAGAGGCTCTTGTGCATATAACTGGATTGAGAGGGGGCTAAGTATCATTCAGGGGGGTTGTTGGGGAAGCAGTACACAGAAACCTTCAGCCTTTGCAACCACTTTAACATTTATATGTATAACAACTTTACTGCATGAGAGGTTTATTTTCTGTTATTCTTTTGTAAAGATTCTGCATTTTCATTTAGAAAGTTCCCTTTGTAGGAGGTATTCTACACTTATGACCATGATTTCTCACAACTCACACACATATAATGGTGTTTTTATGAGTCTTCCAAGATCACATTTTATTTTGAAAGTTTGAATATTCATAGGAGAGCAATAGGATAAAGGGCAGGAGTGAGACGTGGGACATCCACAATTGTTACACAACCAACAAATGTCCCCCTGAAGGAAGAAGACTAAGTAATGCAGGTAAGTTCATGTGAACTTTGTTAGTGAACTCATGCGTGCGTATACATAACTCAAATTTTTCTTGTTTTAAATATAATGTGGAAACATAGATTTATTTACCATTTGTATATTTGCTAGGTAGATTCACTCTCTCTGCTTGTCATGATGGCCATTGTCACAAGTACAGAAAGTGATGTCAAATCCAATTTTATAGATTTGTCACCAGAAAAAGAGGTGAGGAAAAATTGTTCAATGAGGCCTTTGTCCAGTGACAACTGTCTAAGACCGGAATTCTATTCCTAAGGCACAGGAACTGAAGGGAATTCTCACCAAGGGGACAAAGGCAGAAGAAAATCAACAGACAGGGGGTTTAATTCTTCCATACTGATCAAAAATGTATACATATTATTTGATATAACCATAACTTAAAATAAAACTCCAGGCAAAAAATGTGTGAAACATCACCCATCAAATAAGTTATCCCTAATAATGTCTATTCTATTCCTGAATTGCTGCTATTTACTTTTGAAATCATAGCATTCATGCCAGATACTACACATAAAAAGCACAAAGGGGTAAGTGAGCACTAGAAGTCAGTACAGCTGCTGAAACACCAAAAGGTACCAAAAAAACCTTCAAAACATCAATATAAAATTGGGTGCAGCGCTAAAATGACCATATACATAAATAGATATGAATGAATGTAAATAAAAAAGTAAATTACAATATGAAAATCCGTTAAAGTGACAAAGTGCTGGCAACAATAAAGTGACTTAGTGGTACCATAAAGTTGTGTCACTCTAATCATATATGTATATATAGACGATTAAATATTATATTATTATATATATATACATATATGATTGGAGTGGCACAACTTTATGGTACCACTAAGTCACTTTATTGTTGCCAGCACTTTGTCACTTGTCACTTTAACAGATTTTCTTATTGTCATTTACTTTTGTATTTACATTCATTCATATCTATTTATGTATATGGTAATTTTAGCGCTGCACCCAATTTTATATACGTACTACACATAGCACTCTTTTTCTTGTGCTGGGACTGACAGTTCTAGCTCATATACAGTGAAGGATCCTATTGTTAACCTTCCGTTTCCTTTCTCCTTGTCCATTCACAAAATGCCTTGTATTCTGTTCACGGAATGCAAGGTGTTCCGTGAATGGACAATGATAGAGGAGGAGCAGATAAAAGACAGGATTGCCATTGTCCATTCACAGGATACCTTGCAGTGTATGAACAGTATACAAGGCATTAGTGAATGGACAAAGGAAAAGGAAATGGAGCTGAACAACCAGATTTTTCATTATTTGAGAGCTGGAATTAGCAGTCACAGCGCTGTATAAAGCTGGAAGAAGCATGCTGTATGTAGTATCCAGCATGAATAAAGCTATAATTAGTACAGTAAAAAGCAGCCTATTTGACCTATGGTTTTCTAGAGTTCTTCTTTAACCTCCCTGGCGGTATGATTATTTCAGATTTTTGGTGCTGAAAGCGGTACCATTATTTTTCATGGAAATTTGGCGTTTTATATTGTAGGTCTGTAATTCTTAGGAATAACTCACTGAAATCTGTCCGAACAAGAGTCTAGTAAACATCCCGGGTATGATAAAATTTGAAACACAAAATCATAAATTATAATTTAATAAGTAATCATAAAAAATAATAATATAATAATAATACATTTAATTCAATAATATAATCAAACCAAATATAGCGCCAAGTTCGCACATCACTGAGCAAAGTCGCAAAATCGTTTTCAGTGTCTGATGACGAATTTCTCCACCAATCATTATCACTCAATTCTGCAAGTGATTCTAATTTACTATCGCTGTTCTCTAGCTGGTCTAAAACCGCTTTTGACCTAAAGGGACGCTTTTTGGACGCCATGGACGTTTCTCAGTTTCCAGGCAGAAAGAACAGTAAAAATGCAGGCAGGGCACAGGACAAAGCACTAGGGACAAAATGTATGTGACATGGGTTGGTACAGTAATGTTTTACTATGTGATTTTAGTGAATGTCACTTTTTGTCATTTTCAAATTTCCCGCCGTTCCGTCCCCCGTACATCCTGACACTCGCAGGGGACGGAACCCAGATGACAGATGCCGGCATCCGCCGGATTACATTGCCGGGGACACTGCAGGACACTCACATCGTGTGAGCGCAGGACAAGGTAAGTGATCGAGGGATCGTGGAGCAGCGCCGCATGGTAAGCCCGAGTGTAGCTCGGGGTTACCGCTTGTGGTACTGAAACTTTACCCCAAGCTACACTCGGGAATACCGCCAGGGAGGCTACATAACACATTATGTCTTTAAAACAATGCTCTACAAATTTACTAGTCAAATAATACATTTATTTCCATCTAGCCAAGATATATTCCTTCTCAGCCCTCTAAAGACTTCAAGCAATTGACCGTAGGGTATAAGTATTAAATGTTAGCAAATCAATAGGAGAGTAAGGAAAACTTCACGTTTCCCTGGCAGCTTGCACGGTTATTTGAGGTCTAGCCTATAATGAGATAAAATTAACTTCTAACAGTTTTTTTCCCTCAAAGTTACACTATTGTCTCTGATCAAGTTTGAATTTAATTGCTTTTTTTATATCCATGAAAGTAGCAAAGTTGTGCTCCTCTATAGACATTTTAACCCATTGTTCATACTATTGCTCGCACAATTCAGACAAAATACCAAAAACCACAAAGGCTGTAGAAAATGATAGTTTTTGTCTCTGTACAGATGATTGCAGAGGGATTACAATTGCCCAGCATTCACTTTTTGAATGTGAAGTACACTTTTAAATATGAAAAATGTCCATAAGATAACACCAGTTCTCTGAGGCTCTGGCTTAAATGATGGGGGCAAGGCTTAACAACTTGAAGAAGAGTCAAGGCCCTGTATATACTGTAGTCTTGGCCTAAGATTCAAGGGCCTCTGTGGGATCACAAAAATCAGTATAATGACTCACATAAGTACTGGCAGGCATCACAAGGTGCTTGCACTTCAGCATTGTTGTCCCCATAGGCTTATTTTATGCCAGGTCATGTTCATTTTTAACAGGCTGCTTTTTACCGATGAGTTACCTGTAGACTCTACTCTAGCAGTATATATATATATATATATATCAGCCACTTATCTGCATATGAATTTCAAAATTCACATACCTGGCAAAGCCCAATTCCATGCAATCTTCACAGTTATTGCAATATGCTGCAGCTAGACAGCTAGCAAAGCCTCCCTCTAACAATACATTATCCAATTTTTTCATGTCCTTGGTTAACTGTCAGTAAAGTGGAGAACTTAGTTTATCATTGGTCTGCTGAATAACACTGAATCACTTGACCCTGCATGTCTAAAGAATATACCTTTCAAGTAAAGGAACTAAGATCTAGTTTTCCTCTCCTCTGGTCTCCTCTTTCCCTTCTTCATTCTTGTTTTCCTTTCACTGTTACCTTTTCTTTCTTTATATGCTTACATTTTCCCTCTAAACTAATATTAGAATTGAACAATAAATGTAAAATAAAAACTAATTTTATGTTGCTTATACAAACCAATTGCTGTTCCCCTTTGATGTTTTGTCTGCTAGAAGTTGACCAGGGGCTTCCTGCTGCCACGGTAGATGATCCTCATCCAGGCTTCCTAAGATTGCTCATATCAGCCAATAATCTTCTTGTGTCTTTGATCAGTTTAGAACACCAAGAATATAGGCAATTTCACAATGGTGTATATTCCACCACCCTTTTCTGCCATAGTGCTGAGACTTTGTTGTACTTCCTATCTGACAAGCCTGATATCTCTCTTCTCCTGAGTAGAGTTTAACAATTGTTTACAGTCCTTGCTGGATAGGCTTCCTCCTCCTGCTGGCTTACAGCCATCTAGAGGACCCCTGCTGGCTTGGTTTATTGAGAAGTCCGGATGGCAGGATGTGGAGAGCAAGAAACCCCACCTCACTGACTTTTTCATGTTTTTTTAAAACCCGTTCATCTTTATCCCAGAATTGATCTATGCTTGGGAAATTCTGCTGCCAATATGACTATTAGTGATATAGATTATGCCCCTTGCAGTATCTCTGACCACTCTCCACTGATAGGGTGAGAGCTAAACCATCTACTAACTTAAAGTGGGCCCCTTGGAAGCTGAATGCCTTCTGGGTTAACTTGCTCCCGCCACCTGATTGTATAGATTCTCATATCTCTAGGTTTTTTGCTAGTAAATCCGCTGAGCCTGATGTACTGCTCAGGTGGGATACTTTTAAATGTTTTCTGTGGGGTACGTTTATCTGAGAGATTCCGGCTATTATTAAAAATGCTAGTAAACAGCAGGAGCACCTCAGATATCCCGGCTATTAAAAATGCTAGTAAACAGCAGGAGCACCAATTGTCTTAGCATGTCAGAAGTTTGGGAGAAAAGTATGTTTTGGACCCCTCAGAGTCCGCTAAAGAATCCTGGTTGTTAGCTCAGGACACATTTGTTCACTTGGCATCCTCTTCAGCAAAGAAGAGATGCTGCTTTAGGAAACATGCCTTCTACGATGAGGGGGAACACACCGGATGCCTGTTAGCAAAATTAGTGAATGCCCATTCTGCAGCTCCACCTATAGCTGCTCTTTAGAGCACAATCAAGCACATTTTTACACTCCTGATCTGGTTATAGCTGAACTAGAAGAGTTTTATTCTGAGCTATAACAGTCTCAAATATTCAATACAGTGAAGATGCTTTGAACACATATTTCTTGAATCTTGAGCTGACAACTCTTACTGCAGTGCAAAGTGCAGAATTAGATGCTCCTATTACTATAAGGGAGCTAAAAGAGGCAGCTTGTTCATTTCCCACCTGTAAGGCTCCTGGGGAAGATGATCTCCCTATTGAGGTGTATAGGCAATATTTTGATGCTATTCTTCCATATCTGCTGGAAACATTTAATGCAACACAGAAGCATCTTCCTGCCTCTATGTCCAAAGCAGGTATTGTTCTCCTGTTGAAACCTGAAGACTCCCGCTGACCTTAATTCTTATTGGCCCATCTCTTTGCTTCAAACTGACATTAAGATACTCACTAAAGTGTTGGCTAAACGGTTAAATAAGCTTATCCCTAGCATTATTCACCCAGATCAGACTGGCTTCATGCCTGGGAAGTCAACTGCGATTAACCTTCGCAGGGTCTTTCTGAATATGCAAACATCTGCCGAGAATTTGGGGTCTCGAGCCCTGTTGTTACTCGAAGCAAACAAGGCATTCAAGGTCCAGGCAGTACTCGGCATGTAAAGCCATACTACTCCACTTGAAAAGCATTTCCGCTCCCTTCCTTAAGGAATGGCTTACGCATATGGGTACCACTTTAGGATATGAGCGAGCTATCAACACAGAGGATACTTTTCTAAATTTGATAGAATGTGGGGAAGTTGGCTTGACATTCCTGGTTTGGCTCCAGTTAACCTAGTCATGAACAGCATATTGGGGTAGATTGACATTTGCAATATTGTTTTTATATTCACAGTCAAGGTATAATATGTAGCTGTTAACATGCTGTGTGACCATTCTCATACTTGCTGTTTCAGCCCACTGGTGAGGTAATCGGACTTAACACTGAAGGGCTCGCATTTGCCTAAATGTATTTGTTTACTTTTATATTACTTGACATACTGGATGCTATGTCTTGAGAGTTTGTGGAATCTGTATTGCTTGCAAATGTTCAATAAAGGTTCTTTCTGATTCAAAAAAAGAATGTATACAATTTCAAGAATATAAAGGATGTCGGCTTTACATTTAGCAACTGTTGTGCAGGTTTGCTGTGTATTCTTTAATTTAGGGATACTAACCAAATCTGCTAGCTTCACACAAATTAGTTTTTAGCCTCAAATGTGGAATTCATCTGAAACATGTATTTTGCTGTCTCTATGACCTAATACAGCAGAACTGTAATTCCTGTTATTAACCATCAATACAGTCTATCACAATTTTTACCTGCAATCAGTGAGCACTAGTTTAGCTATCTAAAATCTAGGTGACTTAGGTCTTTAATGTATAGTAATCAGTACAAAGAATAAATCAGTCCTAGACGCTTCACAAATTTGACCCAGTCACTGCATGAATTGGATTACAAACCACCTCTTTAAAATATGAACTGTGATTGTTATTTGAAGTCCTGATTATCTAAGGCCTGGTTTCCTACATATTATGTATGGAAAGATCATTTTATGCTTCTTTTATGGATGTTAAAATTGTATCCTTGCTTCACTGGTCCATCTGGGGATTTCAATAAGTTCTTTTCTGGAGATATATCATATAATTTTGTATTGTTTTCAATTATTTATGAAAATTAACATGAAAAATATTATTATTATATATTAACGTTTCATTATAATCAAAATGTGCATCAATTATATCATGGTTCCTGTCATGCTTTTAGCAAATTGTGTTATATTACTTAGATTCTTGGGTTGATGGTTTTCCTTTTGTATTTATCCTAATATAAAACGAAATGTATTTGATAAGCCAAATGTGCAAGGTGCTGCAATCAATCCCAATTCATCTTTAACTAATCTGACCATGAAACATTGAAACTTGAATGGTCGCTATCAGTTAAAGCCCATGATAATAGTGTTACTCCTTACACTGCTTTAAAAGCAAAGCCCAACTCCAGCCAACATTTTTTTCATTTTGGATAGCTGGGAAAATCACTGCCAGGTGTTAATTGTTGTCTTTGTCTTTATTGGGAAGATTTCCCCATACTTCCTGTCCTTTTGACACCAGTGCAAGAAATGAGGGATGTGTTAGTCATCGGGACAGGAAATAGTAGACAACAATAAAAACATTATTTTACCAAAACATATAAGCACAAAGCAGGTACAATGCAGTAAGGATGTTATTTGATGCTTATATACCATGTTCCCTCTAATGCATGAATAGATACCTACCGATTATGCAAAATGTAGTCTGCTACACTTCTTCGGTAAAAATATCCCTAATCAGTGTACATTATCTAGTCTGTGTGAATGTTATAGAATATATATATATATATATATATATCCTGATGTGCTGACTGCCTATTTCATATCTTGAGGCCCTAAAATGCAGGACAGTACAGATGCCCCCCCAGATGAACCCGTTTCGGAAAGTTGAAAGTCCAAGATATTTAGTAAAAGGCATGGCAAGTTTTTTGAAGTTGTAATTTTTTTCACAGTTTTTTGTTTGGAAAATGAAGATCCAGTTTGACGAAGGAGCACATGCTCAGAAAAGCATTAAGGCCCCCTGCTGTGTGATGCAGCCGGTGCATTCCATTCTAGTTCTGGAACCCAAG